GTTCCATTAAGACAAACTTAAATGTCATAACAAGAATTTTTATCGAATACCTACGTACCAGCAACATTTCTTTACTCTCTTAACAATCTTCTCAAGTATTATAGAAAAGACATATCTGATTTGCTGAAACTTGCCTGAGTTTTATAACGGTACACATAATTCATGTTTTAAAATTTTTTGATATATTTTAAATTACTACATACCTGTTACTTAAATATTTATTGTTTACTCTAGTTTTGTACATCTGATTTTATTAAAAAAAAATATTTTTAAAAAATGTTCCATATACAATATACTACATAGAAAATGGTTTATCTCATATAGTGCGCCAGAAATCGATTCGCGATGACTCATCACAAACCAGTTCAGTGTTAATTTTCATACAACTGCATGACCAGAACCGGTCTAGGCACCTCGAAATAGCTCTTTCTTGCATTTCGTTTTTCCATTGACCGAATTAGGGAACTACAGGAATGAAAGGCTTATTTATGCACACATCGTTAGTAAGTATGAACAGATGGACTGAAATTAATAGAATAATGTGGTTCTATATGTCAATTCATCTATCCAGTGACGAAAAAAATTTACTGTGTAAAAAGCAGTAATGCAAATGGTCCCAATATTGTATTAATAAATCGATCTTTTGATTTCGATATAGTCCAGTCGACTCTAGAGTACAGAGGATAGAAAAATATTTTCAGGCTAATCGCTAACCATCTATAACAAAAAACTCAGAGGAGGAATATCATCTAAACAGTAAAAAGACACACAATAAATAAGTGAAGTCATCAATTTCTTCTAGAAAACTGAGTAAAGGAATACAAATTAATGATGTCGCAATACCTGCAATATGGTTAATTACTTAAAATTATATCGTATTGTAAAAAATGTATCGATGTTTTGGTAAAAATATTTACTTCATATTATTCACAAGGCGACATCACCATTGCAACAAAGAACACAAAGAGTAACACGTTTTTCTATAATATTTACTAACGTTAAAGGTGAAACACAGTTATAAATTGATTACTCAAGGACCATTGACGTTATGGACTTCAGACAGTACAGTGCTTGTAAAATTTTAACAAAAATCAGTTACACTGGAATTGAGAGATTTTAGGGGTTCTAGATTTAAAAAAAAATGTTGACGTTAAAGAGAACCTTTTGTGGCTCTTGAGGTTTTTTTTTGTTCGTCTCGACATGTGACCAGTAATTTTATTTAGAACAATAATTTTATTTCCATCGCGTTAGCAACTAAATTTTGGTAAGGTAAAAAATAATAATAACTAAGACAAGATTATGTTAAAACATTATGTTTACCGGTTTATTCAAGACACAAGAGTTTGTCATTGGTCATTGTAAACGAATCATTAATATTGATGACGCTAATATTTAGGGATTTTTAATTGAAATTGCCAACCGTACAATGTTGCTTAAGTTTACCTAAACCTGGCGAGCAGAGCACGTGGTTTGCAGTCATTTATAAATAACGTTTGAAGTTTATGAAAGGTTTAATAACACAGACATATAAAAAAGTAGTGTGTTTCACGAATGAGACCTATGCCTCCTTAATTATTTGGACTTCTGCAAACCGAACCTGCCGTGGGCACTAATCCATCACTCTCCAGTTCTTCTTCAAATTGTCAAATACCACCGGTACAATCGAAAATGTTGTCAATACTATGCAATCTGTAGGTTTGTCCTTGGAAAGAATTATGGAAACAGGTCGAGTGCTTATTATGGATGTTCAAAGACTTACTGAATGCAGAGTTTTAGTTTTTTAGGTTTTAGTTGTAGTTTTTAATAACAAAAAAGTGAGTGATGGAGCATTTACTATGTCAAACTCGGTTTCTAACCAAATACATGAATTGCAGTTTGAAGGATCGTAGAATCCTTAAGAATAGTTTTAGGAAAAAATACAACTCTTGCTTTTTGTTTGTTTTAACTAAGGGAATCAGTTTTGAATATTTGTTAACACAACGTTATTTGTGTTATATATTTTACTATAATTAAAGGAATAATTTTAGTAGTTTACACGCAGAACTATAAATTTATAACAATTTGTCTCTCACAATTACAAACATAAACACGGAGGAATAAGAAATATACGTTCGTATTTGTTGATGTTTACTGTTAGTAATCCGTATAAGAGCCCTAGACTATAACGAGGCAGTTTAACTTTACCTTTTCAATTATCGTATTGGACAGACTCACGTTTTCTTTGCGTCGACATTCCAACGATCAGCTGAAGTTTACAATATATCAGATCATTCGCCGGTTAAAGTACAGAAAATAACTAGGTAACTACAAAAATTGAAAATTGGATAAGGAATTCATATGAAATGGAAAAACATATAATATATAACTAAATCTGGTGAACATTAATATTTTATAAATAAAAATATGGGAATAGGAGAAAACTGATGATTACCTTTAATTGTGAGATGTCATGATGTCATATAGGTACTCGTATAGATTTATGACGTTACATCTTCGGAAATGCCATAAAAGGTTCTTAATTGAACCCTTTTATGAATTTGACAAAGGCTTTTAGTAAAGTGATCCAGTTATGAAGGTAACACCAATCAAACCAAAAATTGCAATTAATATTTGTAATTTCGTTTATACACAATGCCGTTCATTAAGAAAACCATGATTTTTTTTGTTTAAAATCATCTTCATATATATAATTATTTTCATAACATTCGACATGATCTGAAACGCTTACAATTTTTCCATAAGTAGATTCTTTCAGCAGTGTTCAAAAATTGGCTAAGCTTTCATTTTCAATCATTTTCAGCGCCTATATTAACAGTAACATAAAAAACTTTAAGAATGCATAAAAAATATATTTTTCAATATTAATTTATAAAATTTATAATTATTTATAATAAAAGTAGGCAGAGTTTTCGAAAATTGCCTGTCATAATTTCAGATTGATTAGATACAGGATGTTAAAATTTAAAAATACTACATTAATTCTCTCTAAAAATACTAGAGTAAAAATATTATATTTTTTATTGTTATTAAACCAAAATGAGAAGGGGCAAAGTCTATTGTTTCCAATTATATATAGGACAATTATTATATTATAACAATATATACGAGGTGAGACTAAAAAAAAATTAAGTTCAAATAAAAGACGTTGAAACATTACTACAGTGGCTTGAGAATAACTTTTGCTAACATTAGTAAGTCGGTTTATTTAAAAGGTTTCTTATTAAATAATTAAAAGGTTAACACTCACTGAAGTTACAATATCGTTAGGCAGCTAATTTCATTCATTAAAGACTGTATTAGAATAAAAGATCTATCTGTCTGTTTGTTATGGAGCACTGGAAATTTCCTCAAGCAGTTTCAACTAATTGCCACTCAACCAATCGTCTGTGTTTAATGTCAGTAACTGCTGATGTTCTTGTTGAAATACTCGTGTAGTAGCTTGTAGATGAAAATGATATTGCCTCAATGATTCCTCAAAGCATGTATTTGTCTGGTGGATATGTATCAAACATTTTCTAAAAGACGAGTGTATGATTCATCCTAAATTCCTCATGGAAAAAGAGAATAGATTAAGACATAGATTTTGGAAGGCTTTGAATAGTATATAGGATTCCTGATTAGCTTTTTTGTAATTTTGGAAATCTAACTGAATCGGGAGAGATCAGAAGTTATTATGACACCCGAATCATTCTGTTCCTTTACTACTTTCAGTCGAGTTCCATTAATGACTTAAAAGTGGTGAAGACTTATATTGCGTTCATGGATTTAACCAAGTACTGAACCAACACGCAATTTATGGAAGTTTAGAAGATTTTTATATATTTTTGTATCATCCACATAAAAATAAAGAGGAATAAGGTAATTAAGATCTGCTGAATACAATAAAAACAACCTTCTGGTATATCAGATTATAGCTGATTAAAAGAAGAAAAATCTGATCCGATAAAACAGAGAACGTTTTACTGTTCAAGTAGCTTTAAATCCACGAGTTCAGTCGTCCGCGAATTCTCAAATCGTCAAGTATTAAGAGGAGTTTGTAACTAGGGACTCTGTAGATGGTTTTGGGACCACAGTAATAATAGCAATAGTTTATGAGTTAAGAAGATATTGGGATACTAATTCTTTCGAGTACTTTTGGGGCAAATGAGTATCAGATTGATTTGTCGATAATTGTCAGGGTTTCTTTTATTTCGTTTTTCGAATATACCAACCAGTCAGAGGGGAAGATGACTTATATAAAGAATTTAAATACAAAATATAAAGTCTAAGCTGCAGAGGAAGCACAATATTTCAGACAGACACTGGAAGACTCAAATACTGAATAGGACCCAAGTAAATACTTTTTGAGAAGTGGTGGTAAAACTTCTGCAAATTCTAGATCAGGACTATACAAGGTGTAACTGAAATAAGTATTCAAAATTTCTGAGCTTGTAAAACAAGTCGAAAAATGACGAAAACATTGGTACAATTTTTGTCAGTGGCGACTCCTAAGGGAGCTACGCTGTCCTAAAGGGGTAACCTCGGCAACAGTTTTTAATGCGTAACATCCAAACGGCTCGACATTAAGTCACGAAATTTTGGTGAGATATTAACCTTGACGTGCTTAATAAGTCTCATAAAATACATTTCAAAATTTGCTACAGGGGCGTGAGAAAATGCAGGACCCAGGGACAAATTTAATCATATCTTTTTTGTAGTCAATTTTTTCTAGTTCCTGACTCGAAAATATTGAAATTTGAAGTATTTAACATAAAAAAGGTCCTCTTGTTAAATTTCACTAGGATGTGCCGTTTTCCAGTAAAATCGATTTCAATCATTCCCAACGTGCTCCAAATTCAACTTTCATTACATAGCAAAATAAATTAATTGCAGTGTGCCATGGGGAAAACAACTAGTCTGACAGTTAACAGAAATGTCAAGTATTTTTAGTTTCAAATTTGTGTCATTTGAGTATTCGCAGTGCCGTTTTATAGTAAATAAAAATATCAAATAATTTAAAAATGCAACAGTATACATTTTCTGAGTATGTAGATATGCTTTTGACGTTAGGTGAATGTCATGGAAGCGCAAGAGCAGCCGCACAACGATACGGTGAAAAGTTCCCCAACAGAAATGTGCCCAATTACAAAACATTTCTTTGCACAGAAAGGCGTTTGCGAGAACGGGGTACGTTAAAAAGGAACAATTTTGAGAGAGGCAGGCGTAGAATAATTAGAAATGTCCTGAATGAGGAAAATATTTTAAATTTAGTTGAAGCTAACGCCACACTTAGTACAAGACGACTATCAGTTCAAAATAACATGTCTCATATGACAGTATGGAGGATAATGAGAGAACAACAATTGTATCCCTATCATTATAGACAGGCCCAAGACATTTTACCACAGGACAGGCCCATGCGCAGACAGTTTTGTCAGTTGGTTTTAGACAGGCAAGCCGACGATCCGATGTTTCTATCGAATATTATTTTTACCGATGAAGCTATCTTTACCAGAAGCGGTGTTTTTAATATGCGGGCCGAAGAATATCCTAATGCTCGGAAGGTAACCCATTATCAGCATTCATTTAAAATAAATGTTTGTGCTGCCACATTAGGAAATAATCTATTTGGATATCACATCATGCCTGGAAATTTAACCGGAGCAATGTACCATCAATTTTTGTCTACTAGATTGTATGAATTTTTAGAGGATATTCCGTTGGTAAGACGAGGTTCCTTATGGTACATGCATGACTGCACCCCTCATCACTTCAACCGTCAATGTCGACAGTGGTTAAACGAGCATGATGCTGCTATAAATTGGCCTCCACGGTCACCAGACCTCAGCCCAATGTATTTTAACGTGTGGAGTCAAATGAAACAAAAAGTGTATTTCCAAGCTGTTGGCAATGAGGAACAGTTGCGTCAGTGTATAGAAAATGCATATAATGAACTCAATGTGGAGCACAAACTATACCGGAACCTATTTTCTTTGGAAAACAGGTTACGTGCGTGCATTAGGGCAAACGGCGGACATTTTGAAAGTTGAATCTAGTCTGTCTTCTTGACTAGGGCACATTTTCTGCTAAAGAAATTAAGATATTTGGTTAATTTGTTAAACTAAACTAAATGGTTTAAATCTGTTAAAATGTTACGTAAAAGTTTCAGCCGCTTACAATAGTTTAATAAATAATCTCATACGTATTTATTCTTTAGCTTTTATTTATATCACCATATTTTTATTTGTTACTATTAAGAGTGTTAAAAATACTTGACATTTCTGTTAACTGTCAGACTAGTTGTTTTTCCCATGGCACACTGCAATTAATTTATTTTGCTATGTAATGAAAGTTGAAATTGAAGCACGTTGGGAATGATTGAAATCGATTTTACTGGAAAACGGCACATCCTAGTGAAATTTAACAAGAGGACCTTTTTTATGTTAAATACTTACAATTTCAATATTTTCGAGTCAGGAAGTAGAAAAAATTGACTACAAAAAAAGATATGATTAAATTTATCCCTGGGTCCTGCATTTTCTCACGCCACTGTAGCAAATTTTGAAATGTATTTTATGAGACTTATTAAGCACGTCAAGGTTAATATCTCACCAAAATTTTGTGACAATAAGTCCAACGAAACTGATATTTTTCAACATTCTAAATATTTGAGGTACTCATAAATAATGTATAATATTTCTAATATCTTCACATTAAAATATTCTCTGCTATGCGTATCGATAGATTACTCACAGTTGGATATCTAAACTACGATGTTAAATAAAGAAGATTTTTTTCTAATAGAATAAGTGTATTTAAAAACACCCTATTTTTCGATATATATATTTTGAAATATTGATTTAAAAACACGCGAGAAACTGTATCCTAAAGTTGTTTCGACTACTCTATCTTGGGTGTTACATGGGATACAATCATTAGATTGTTTTCAATCATACGCCAATAACTGAAATAAAATATTGATCAAGAAGAATGGTTAAGTTAAGTTAACACACACACACACAAACGAATGGATACGCACTATCTAGACGAATATATACGTATTATACAGTTTTTAAGAATCTTCATGGAGCTTTTACGCATTTAAACACGTGCTTGACTGGTAATTCGCATTATCAACTTTTAACATCGACTAACTCGAAAACTGTTCATTAGCGAACTTTGGGCCCAGGAAGGCTTTTGTTCCTCATAACAAAAACAACCTATTCCCAAAATTTCATTAAAATCGACCGAACGGAATTTCACATAAGGTTTGTGCGGGGTTCTTTTGAATACTTATTTCAGTTATACCTTGTATAAGTCCCTTATGGTATTATGAACCAGAAACTTTGAAAACAGCTTTTTGATCTCTATGTACAAGACTAAGAACGTAGATTTTTTTTTAATTCAAATTCTTTTTAGAGAAATTTATATGAGTAGTGAAATCGATTTATAAATAGCTCAATTTGAACTTTCTTATGTTTTTATGTCATCAAAATTGAGGACATTTTGCCAATTTTTCAGCTTTTTGATCCAAACTCAACCAAAGAACAGTCTTGTTAAGTTTCAGAAAGTGCTCTTTAGATAGATTTTAGGTTGACATTTTACATCAAAATATACCTTGATTGAAAAAAAATCAACTTTTAATTTATCTTTATTCGATGAAATGCAAAATATTTCGTATTCTACTTGTAACATAAAATTACACCTATTTAAAAAAAATAATTTAGTTGTAATATTATACTCATATATCGTCCTATATTTATATAAATACACATTTTAAAATTGTTGAAACGGGTTCGACGTACGCAAATTGTATTTAATTACAAGCCAGACAACAAATTTTGCTTCTTAGGCGGTAAAGTGTTATCACCTTATAATACTTCTGCTCTTGCAACAAAATTCCCCACTGGCAACACGAGTATACGTTTATATTAGTCAGCGTCATGGTCATGACAATGACTATTACGCTATTTTATTTGCAACATACATGCAACAAGAAAATAAAATACTCAATCCACTTAAGAGATTATTCTTTCTATAAAATTTAACAGGTCGTTTGGTAGAAGGAAATTGCCTAATAAAGGTTAACGTGGTGGTTGACGGTCGTGTGACAGTGATCCAGTTTCTAGGACTTTATGCGGCATGCGACGTATTTATGGCCTACCGTAACACGGTCTCCCTGCAATTTTCATCCTCAGACAATAAAAAAATCTTTGTTTAAAAGTTAACATTTCAACAGAGTAAGCGATAAGTTGATTTTTAAATCGATTTACATATTACATGAAAGCGTAAAAACAGTTATTAATTACTAAATACTAAATTTATATAATACTAATTTTGCGCATGTTGTAAAAACACTATATGGAATCAAGCGAATCAGTGCATAAATATTTTGCACACTAGCGTGAAAATAGTACAGGAGGTTTGATCAAAAAGTACCGGTAATCGTTAATTTTCTCAGAAAATATTTTATCCTCAATTTTTAACCTTGTAATATTATGCCAGTTCTGCCAAAATATTTTTCAGTCTGGTGGAACGCCTTTATCTCATCTATTGTTGAAAATCGATGTTCTTTGAATATTCTTGAGTTTGGGAAATAGGAACAAGTCACAGGAGTCATGTTTGGAAAAAAACTTGAGAACAGCCGAAGCTGCAATCTAAAAAAATTTAAAAGAAAAATTTTTTTTACCAAATTGTTGTTAATACTTTAATACGTTATTTAATTACGAAAAACAAGTTTGACAATGCAGAGGCCATATTCTACGCTCAAATCTGCGTTGAACATCTACGAAATTGAAGGTACATATTAACAAATATCACAAGTTGCTTTTATAAAACAGAAGCACTTTGGATACATAGCCATAAAATCGTTGGCTTTTTCAAGAATCATCATCATCACACTCTTGTACTTACACCCGTTGACAGGTTCTATTGATGAAAGTATATGTTTTATTTATTCTATGCTGTTTTACTAAATTATTGTTTTATGTTTAGGTGGTTGCTGTTTCTGCTGTTGCTGTGAGTGCAGATGTGATGAACTAGTGAGGATGTGCGTGGAGAAGAGAAAAAAGAGATGAACCTCCCATTCATAAAAGCTCAAAAGGAATGATTTTGAGTGATGGTTTTGGTATTAGTCCAATAGAACTGTATTAAGAATATCCTTGTGTCCGCAGAAAACAACAACCAGTAGACTGTTTCTCTAGCGGCAAAGAAAATGTACAGTTTAGCATTTAGACATTAACACTTTCGAAAAAATACCTACAAATATTCCCAGATTCCTGAAACCAGAAAATCCATATATCAATCATTCACTTAGCTGATCAGTAGCTACACTTTTAGCAGATTATGATACAGACATCATTACTTTGAGGCATTGAGAAGGTCGGAAAAACGACAAAGTAGGTAAAGCGTATGTCGAAAATTCTCTTCAACAGAAAGTCAATATAGGGAAACAAATTTTGAACAAAAACACTGCCTCTGCTACTGCTTATTTTATGGTTACTGCTGACGTTACCTCTTCTACTGCTTGTTCTGAGGTTACAGTAGCAAATATTGATAGAATAATGCTCATAAAGAAAATGAGTCATCTTGTGTTAGTTTTGGTAATACAATTCAATTTCTCATTGCAACTTTTTATTTGAATTCAAATATTAAACACTAGTTAACTTGCTTTTTAATATTGTTTTCTTTACCTAAAGTATAAATATTTTATTTCATTAGTTACTAAAAAAATTTAATAACTATTAATGATTGAAATTTGATTTTAGTCACTAAAAACCATCCGGCAAAACATCTACAAAATTACAACTTTTTGACAAAGCTATTTATGTAACAACAAATGTGAATATTGATGACATCGAATAAGTCAAAGAAAAGTTGGGAGAAAGTCGAAGTATTCCATGCTTAAAGCAAATTTGGCGTTTTTGGCCTTCTGAAAAGTTCGGTTGAATATGAGCTTTCTAGAGAAGCTAATAAGTTTATATACCTAATACTAATACAGCGTATTGATAATGTTTGGCATCTGACAGAGCATGCAAAGAGAACTTCTTATTAGCTTTGCTGATACAAACACTAACCAGAACCTGATATTTTCGAAAACTGTACATACATAGTGAAGCCGTTTACCTAATGGAATAATTTCAGAAATAAATTCGTCTTCGATTATTTGCATAGTACAACTCATTGAAATCTAACATATCTGCTAACATACCTCTGCTACAGTTGTTGTTGATACTGGGGTGGAATTGGTAACATTAAACCATTAAATCGATTTAGTGGATGACACTGACACTCATTACCTCTATCTATCCTAAATGGTTTCAAATCAAGATACTGTTGAAAAAGATTTTCATTTACTAGCAATTGTTTTAAATATGCGACAAATTGTAATTGATACTTTCAGTAAACGCTCCTAAAAATAAGCGTTTTGAGAACTAATATAAATAGTCCGCGAAATTCCACTTGTGAAAAATGCATTATACACATACAAATTAATAAATGTTCTGAAATCATCAAGTAAAATAAATTTAACACAAATGATTGATTATAAATTAGTGTCTGACTACAAGCAGAACAAAAATATATTTTCGAATTACTTACAAATATTTTCAAAGACAGCACGTGTAAAAAATGTAGGGACTGACATCTAGTTCATGTACAACATACAAAAATGAGATATGGGTTCAAATTTATAAATTTCCAGTTCAAATATTTATTTTTGCCATCCAAGTAAATTAACATTTTTATAACATAATTATTATTTTTCACATCAAAAGCTTTTTTTCTTAGAAATTACGGAATCTTTGTAAATTTCTTAAAAAAAATCTAAAGAAAAATCTGAACATTTGTGGGTAAGCATTTGAAATAGGAATTCATGATCTTACTTGATTTTCAAGCTACTTGACTTGAAATCTAATCCAGTAGGGTCGCATAATCAAGTCCAGGACAATGCACTACTCGATTTTTTTATTTTATGTCAAAAATAGCAGTTCGACAGCTCGAAAAGATTTTTAATAATTCATCTACAATTTCAATTCTAAAAAAATCGGCA